GGTGAAGTAAGGTCTCCGTGCAGCTTTGGGGTCCTGACTTGAGCTTTAGGCTTAAATGGGGAAAGCGTTTGAGCAGGGGTGGAGAGGTGTGTGTAATTAAACAGTCACTGCACAGTGTGGCCTGGCTCATTATCTCAGTTCTGGTTCTGCTGAAGTGAACAGGCCCACAAAAGCGTGCACTCTGTCGCAGTGTTCAACCACGCTGGCTGGCGACACACGTGAAGGAGGACCCAGAGCCACACGTTCAGTTCACACATTCATTGAGGGAGTGGTACACGTGTAAGGACTCACCAAAAAGAAGACGGGGTCGGGGGAAGCGTCACCACTGAAGGCAGGTTCTTGAGAGAGCGAGGAGAGAGCCCTGGAGCATTGGGGCCACAGTAAGGCTGTCCACGGTAAAGAACTCAGGCCAGGCGGCTGACCTGTAGCGGTGACCAGAGCTTACTGGTCACGGTGGACCAGTGCTGCTACACGGGAGATGGAGACCAACTGAGGAAGGTTGCCCGCCAGAGCGGGCAGGAGGCCGGCAAGGAGAGGCCCCCAGGAGTGGTCCCTTGATGCTGGCATGTGCTGCTTGAGTGCCGACGATGCGGAGAGTGTGCTCTGGTGGTCGAGTCCAGCTGGTCAGCGTTTATAGTGTCAGCCGGGTGTGCTTCTTGACGCTGGTCCTATTGTCCCTGTTCAGGTCATTTGCAGAGGACTTGGAGAAGTGAGGGTAGCACTCTGGTTCCCATGAGATTACTCTGCTCCACGGTGCTTCTCATTGTCATAAACTTGAGGGCCCAAGTGAGGAGTCAGTGCTGTTTAGAAAAAGCAGTTTCTCGGTGCTTGTTGTAAAGATAATTGCTCAGGAAACATTTTCATTGTCTGTCTCTGACTTAATTAAAAGAACATTATTCTTCTCTTAAGGGACTTTAGATAAGTTTTTAAAAACTATAAATCTAACAAAGTTATGAAGAAATAGTTGTGATGGGTCTGAAATTAAAGAATAATTTAAAAACAAAAGCCCTTATGTTTTCACGTGCCTTGTTTGGAAGGAACAAATTATCTGTAAAACACATTTACAGAGTGACGTGATTTGAAACGAGTACTAGAAGATTCACGGAATGATGCCTTTAAGAAGTCACTGGTACCTTTAAAGTGTTTCACATGTTTATTCCATAACTGCTTTTATGTTGAAAGGAGATACAGCTTTACCATTTGTGAAAAATAAAAGTGCAAGCTTAATGATTCAGTAAACATCTGTTGCAGCCATATCTGGATGCTAGGCTCTGGGGGTTAAAAAATGGCACTCATAGGCCATAAGGGGGTAGAACTTGTAAATGAGTCTGCCAGTGTACCCTCCATGGTAGCAAGACTATGAAAGGAAATGTCTTCCTGCAAAGGGATGGAGGGTAGGCTTCTGTGAGGAGGTGAGTAAGCTAGGAGGAGAAGTTGCCTTAGAGATGGTTGCAGTGAGGTAGTTCAGGTCAGCTTAGAGGTAGTCATGTCATGATCTAATAATTTGTATGGGTACATTCTTAAGAACTTTTTAAATTTGAAAACACTGCAGCTATCACATTAGTCATGTATTTGTTAATAAGATAGTAATGACTTATTAAGTATTCTGAAAATCTTCATTCTTAAAATGAAAACTTTTTCTTCCTTTCTGTATTAGTAAACTTAAAAACAAATACCTAACTTTTCCATTTCAGTGAATGGTAGAAATTTTGATCATCTTGGAGCCTCAGAATGTAGGGCCTTAAAAATCTCATTCATTCTTTTCTTTGGACTATCTTTGTCAATTCAAAGTACTTAGTAGTGATTTACATCTATTGAGTCCAAATTTATAGCTTATTTCACTTACTGGTTCTCAGATCTTTTAAGGTTTTAAATGTAAAGGGCTGCTCTGCTTTCTGACTCAACATCACTACTGAGTTCCATGGTGTAGAGTTCAAGTGCTGAATGAAAAGTGTGGAGAAGAGCCATCTACTTTGAGATTTTAAACTATGCTTACTGGCTTCTTTTACATTTCAGTTAGAAACAATATTTCTTTCAGTAAAATATTGGGCATATGGAAGAAAATCTTTTTACAGTTTGTAGGCACATACTTCTTACATATGTCTATAAAAATAGATACATAAAAAGTCTTCAAGGGCTGTGAATTACATTCTTAAAGCCACTTCTAAGTGACTCAGCTTTTGAACATTGTGTGTTCTTTATGCTTATTTTTTTTAAGATTAGAAAGATCCATTGGCAGAAGTAGAAATATCTAAGAAGAGATGGTGGTTTCTTCAAAGCTTTTAACTTTCTGTTTGTGTCCATTTTGAGGCCAACATGGCAATCCAGTAGAGGACTAGGTCCAAAGAGTGGAGATGTGGTTGGTTCTGCCATTAACTGATCATGGGGTTTAGTTGGTTGGTTGGTTGTTGTGGCGGTACTGGGGTTTGAACTCAGGACTGTGCTTGCTAGGCAGGAACTCTACCACTTGAGCCATGCTTCCAGCACTTTTTTCTTGATTACTTTTGCTTTTTTGGCAGTACTGGGGTTTGAATTCAGGGCTTTGTACTTGCTAGTCAGGTGCTCTACTGCTTGAGCCATGCTGCCAGTCCTCTGGTTATTTTTGACACGGGGTCTCCCTTTTCCCCCTGGGCCAGCGTGGATCATGATCCTATTGTTTCCCTCTGTAGCTGGGGTGACAGACATGCCCCCACACCCAGATCTTTCTGTTGGGACTTTTTGCCCTGGCTGGCCTGGAATGGCAAGCCTGCCAATTTCAGCCTCTCTCGAACTGGGATGACAGGTGCATGCATCCAGCTGTTGGTTGAGATGGAGTCTTGCAAACTTTTTGCATGGGCTGTCCTTGAACTGCCATCATTCTAATCTCCACTTTCTGAGTAAGGATTACAGGCCCATGCCTGTGCCTGGCTGATCATAGGTTTTTGAACGAAGAATTGGTTTTTATAAGCCTCAGCCCATCCAAGTGTCAAATCAAGGCTGGACCAAGAAGTCTTTAAACAGCCTTCTAAAACTAATGCATATATTGAGTGTATTCACTGTTACACCTTTTTTGTTGTTGTTGTTTGTTTGTTTTAAGTGCTGGGCACTGAGCCCAGGGCCTTGTGTATGCCAGGAAGATGCTGTAGTACTGAGCTACACTCTTGGCCCAGACATTGTCTGATCATGACATTAGAGGACTGTGTCTGTTTTTTCTTTCCTCTCCACCTGTACTGTGCTTGTTTTATTTTAAAATGAGCTCTCCCTTCACAGGCTGCAACCTAGTCTCCCTTAAACGAGCTCTCCTCGGGGAGTGGAAAGGAGTCTTTGGATGGGTCAAGTGTTGCCTTCAGCTTGGGGGCTAGGCCTGTTTCCAAACATGCTGGATACCCTGACTGTCTGCATGTGTCTCCAGTACTTTTAAATCCAGCCGTCCTAGCGGTCCTGGAGCAGTTCTGCTCGTTGCTAATAGATTCGGGGTTGCTCACAAGCTGCTACTTCAGTTTTGACCCTGCACAGCTCAAAATGTTGACTACTTACTTACTCATTCCATTGATAAGTTTTATTAAAAATAATTGGACAAATATTTTAAAACACTGTATACTACACTGTGTGATTTTTCTAAGGAAGATAACAGAAACCTCAGTCTGGATCCTGACCTCCCAAACTTTGTATCATATAGTTGCATTTTTTCACAAAGATGTTAGGCTAATGTCTTTTTCTTTCTTTTGTTATTAAGATATTAATGAACCAGGTATGGTAGCTCATGCCTGTAATTGTAGCTATTTGAGAGGCAGATTGGAAGAATTGCTGTTCAAAGCCAGCCCAGGCAAAGTTAGCAAGACCCTGTCTCATCCAAAAAGCTGGGTGTGGTGGTACACATCTGTAATCACAGCTATGTGGGAGGTATAAATGGGAGGATTGAGATCTTACCTGAAAAATAACTAAAGCAAAAAGGTCTGGGAGCATGACTCAAATGTTAGAGCACTGCTTAGCAAACGTGAGGCCCTGAATTCAAACTGCAGTAATGCCAAAATGTATACATATGTACACACACGGATATATGTGGAGATATGTATAAAGAGACAGAGATAAAATATGTGTATATATATATATATATATATATAATACGTGTATATATATATGTGTGTGTGTGTGTGTGTGTGTGTGTTATATAATTTGTAATACATATGGTATCACAACATACGTTATACTATACTATGGAATAATTAAGATATATAAAACAGCAGAAAGACTAATCCAGAGACACCTGTGTCCCCACTGCCTGGTCCATTGGTCTGGAAGCCTGCAGTCTGTCGGCTCCTCCTCCATGCTATGGGTTGCTCTTCTGAACTCTGTTCTCATGGAGACTCAGAGTCTCCCTGGTTCTTACAGAATAAAGCTGCAGTCCTTCTCGTGCTATTTCTTGCTCCAGGTCACCAGGGCCTCTGCCTGAGTTGCAGAGATTAATGTGTTTCTTATGCTACTCCACTGAATATATCGATTTGCAGCACAGAGAACCTATCTTCATTTGGTAGTCACCATGTGGTGTCCTGGTACAGGACTCCTGACACACTGTTTTCATTCGGTCTGTGTTCGTGAACATTTTCCCTCTGTCTCATCTGCCGAAATCACACTTCTGAACCCACCCGCTCTGCGTGTGACAGTTCTTCCAAATAAAGCATGCTGCATTTTCATGTCTGTGTTCTGTCTCTTCCACCGTACTGTAGGCGATCTGAAGAGCCTTAACGGACAGTTTTATATATTGTGAGTAGTCAGTCAATGCTCGTGGATTTTTCTGAGGATATTGATTATTCTATTTTACTTTATGGCCATTAGCCTGCCCTACATCTAACTCCCTATAAACAAGCTGCTTATGGTCCGCGAGGCTCCTGAGAGAAACCTCAGGAGAGAGGGTACTTGCACATCATGTATTTGTCAGTTGTTCACGTTATCTTATTTTGTGTATTGTAGTAGTATGTTTTAAAATATCAAAGTAATGTTTCTTTTGTCTTATCTTTTAGATATTGCTATATGGAGATTTGCCAAAACATAAAGAAAATATAATATATTTAGCAAATCATCAAAGCACAGGTTTGTATTTCATTTGCATGAAACTTCGGATTTTCTTTGCTGTTGTTATTGTAGTTTTCTGTGCATGTTTTACACCTGTCCTTGTGTTTTTGTGATTTTAGTCTTTGGAAAGTCAGTAATGTGAAAGTTAATTGATTTTCTTAGATTTTTCCCTCTTTCTGATGGGAAGCTATTTTCTCACCCTACCCCCATTTCTTTGAATAGCTTTTTATTCATTCTTCTTTTTATAAGTTATGTGTGCGTGTACACTTTTTATTTTATTACCGAGATAGGGTCTTGCTACGTAGCCCAGGCTGACCTCAAACTCAAAATTCTCCTGCTTCAGCCTCCTGAGTGCTGGGATTATAGGCGTGTAGCACCACACCTCATTTTTGTTGTATGTTTTTATCATTAGGCTGTGTTCTGTTTTTTCCAGTGCATGAATACTCCTTTCCTGAGCACAGTGCTAGTGTTCTAATCAGTTCTAATGTCTGCACTTTCTTTTGCTTCTTCACATGCTTTAATCTAGCTTGCACTGGTTTCCAATACAGGGCAGTATGTACTGTAGATTAGACTAAGGTACTTTAAGAAACTACTTATTTTAAAATAATTATCAATGATTTGTCAAACTGGTACATTGTGTCCTGCAGCCCCCTTTACGAAGTCCTCCCGGTGGTGACATCCAGATAACTAGTACGATATCAAAACCAAGTTGTTCATGTGGGGTAAGGAACTCTTCAGTTCGCCGAGTACGATAGCACCCCAAAAATGCCACTTCTCGTTTTTTCATACACGTGACTGCTTTTCATACCTGTTATATCCCATTTTTATTGTTTATAAAATATAGTGCCTAGAAGCTCAAGGCTACAAACAGCCTGGTAACGGTGCTCCTAGTGGAACACCACTGAGCCTTGGTTTTGCTTTGTTCTCTTCTTTCAACTCTGTCTGCATGATTTTGTTGCTTTTATTGCTACCTAATACCATAGGTAAGCATAGCAAGTAAAGGGAGTTGTAATGAATTTTTCTGAATTTAGTGCACTCATTAGATGAGTGAGATAAGAGTTGGATTAATAGGTATTTTGGGGGTAATAGGAATTTTGATATATTTCCCCCAACTTTATGAATGGGACTGATTGAGACTATTTGGTCTAATTACATTTGACTTCAGGCAAAAACATCAAAACAAGATTCCCGTGGTCAGTGTGGTACAGACATGTTAGGCTTTTTACCAAGAGCATCATCCTGTGTTCCTGTCGTGCTGCTGAGGGGGAGTTCCTGCTAGGACCCAAGTACCCAAATAAGCATTTATGGCCTCTCAATAGCTTCCATTCCCCTGTATTGCCTTTCTTATTGGCCAGTGGTTAATTTCATGCTAGGTATTCTTCCTTTTTAACAGGATTCTCCTGAAATTCCTCATTGACTTTCCTGCCAACTTTCCCTTTTCTACGACTTTTGGAAATATGTTCGTTTAACAGAGCTGTGGTCCTGGCACAACATGTACAATAAGTACCTTAAGCACTCCTGGAGGCCATGGTAGTAATAGTGATGATAACAAAATAACTACCATTGTCATTTTTGTGCTACTTTTGTTCACTTTTATTCCTTCTGAGTGTGAACTTCTGGAAAAACATTTGTGAATAAACAGCAGAGTAGAAAAATCTTCTGTTTTATGCTTGGGGCTTGAGGTAGACATGGGAAGCATGAGCTCTCACTCAGCCCACACTTCTTTCACCACCCTACCTCTGAGCACCTTCGGCCTTCTCCCCCTGCTCTAGCACTGGCTCCTGCTACCAGGCAACTTGGGGATTTGAAAAGGCTTGTGTGTGTGTGTGTGTGTGTGTGTGGATGTGTGAGATGCTGGGGATGGAACCCAGGGCCTCATACGTGCTGTACCACTGAGCCACACCTCTAGCCTGGGAAGGTTACTATTTGAATGCCTTTTAAAAGTCTAAAACTTGAGCCTGGCTTGGTAGCTCACATCCTAGCAATGTGGGAAGTGGACGTACAAAGGATCGTGGTTTGAAATCAATCCTGGCAAAAAGTTAGTGAGACCCTCATTTCAACAACCAAGGCAGGTGTGACGGCATTTGACTATAACCCCAGCTACATAGCTAGGATAGGAGGAGGCATAGGTAGGATGAGTGAGGCCTGCCAGAGTAAGTGAGTTTGCTGGCTTGGTATTCAAATAGAATTGACATTTAAATTAGTCTCTTTCCTCCCTTGTTTTCACTTGACATGTCCTTGCTGTCTCTACATTCTTGGTTTCTGTTAATTCATTTCCCTCTAGAGTTAGCAAAGATACAGTGGTTATGATTCCTTCTCCTCCTGCTTTAATTATCTGCTTCAACACTATTTAATTTTTTAATCTCATGAATGCTCCCATTGCTTGGAGCAACATGGGCGGTGAGTAGAACTGTCATAGAAGCGTGGACTTTGGAGTCAGAGAGACCCTGCTGCATGTGCTCCTCAGTAGTAAGCAAGTGACTTAATTCTGCCAAGCTTATTGGCTGGCTGTGAGTGATGCCTACTGCTTGGGTTTGTAGGCAGTTTACACATAGACATCCCATAATTCTGGTAGAGAGCCAGACTCATTCATGGGTGGCATTTATCAGCAGAGGGGATGGTAATAGCTGGCGGTTATCACAGTGCTGGAACCACGGCAGGAAAGTGCTTTGTGTGCAGTGTCTATTTAGACAACACAGGGCCCTCATGAATTAGAAATAGAGTTACATAATGGTACAGAAGCTTGCTGCTGCTTTTCACTGCCTTCCAGTCCTCTCTGCAAGTTGATGGGAACGTGGCCTTACTTTGTCTGGATCATCATCTGATTTAATCAAGATAAATTGTTCATTTACCTAATAGTTAAGTAAGGGTTATGTAAAGTTGTAATCTAGTGGCATCTGAAACCTAGCTGAGAACAAACAGAAAAAGTGAGAAGAATAATTCCTTATCAAATAATGAAGGCACAAATCTTAGTCTTTTGAATGCTAAAGTTAGTTCTTAAATGTTTGCATTAAAATTATTGAGGATAAGGGCAGAGCTCATGGCAGGTTACTATGCACGTGACATATTTTGGAAATCTTATATTTCCTCTAAACAGCTCTTGGAAGATGCAGCCAAGGTTATGACCTAAACATGCTTTTAAATTTAATTTAATTAATTAATTTATTTATTTTATTCATATGTGCATACAATGTTTGGGTCATTTCTCCCCCCTCACCCCATCCCCTCCCTTACCCCCCTAAACATGCTTTTTAAAGATAAAAATGCATGTATTTTCCCTGATCTTTAAAAGGTAATTATTGCAGGAAAAGATGCCAAATCTAGTTTTAACTTTACCTCAGTATATACCAGGATGTATACTAACTTGGGAGCTGTATGGAAACATAGAATTAGTTCTCAGAATTTATTTAGAATCTACTTTTCTCTTAGATATAGTTCTAACAGGCTTGGTGTATGTTTCTGAGATATGATCAGAAAGAACTATGTTTCTCAAGTAATGTTTTATTTGACCTGAGTTAGAGGGGGCTGAGGAGTGGGCTTCTCTGGGAAATTATAGACCTCAGAGAAAAGCAGTCACTGATAGCCCAAGAGGGTAGGATCCAGACTGATAGACAGTGTGAGGACTGTGATGCATAGGGAAAGCACGTGCAGGCTTCACTCTGCTTCACTTAGATGCAGAATGCTTGGAAGTCTTCAGTGGTGAAAAGTCCACTTGCACGTGAAGGTTCCTAGTTGAAGGAAGTTGATGATGAGTGGTAAGGCATTTCTCTACAAGGTGAAGTTTGGTGTTTGATGGTGTTAAATCTTGGGGGTAGTCTGTTAGTACGTGTACTGTGTAAAGGATTGCACGGTACTGGGAGCGAGCTCCTTGCCTGACACTTTGTTGTGAGCTCCTCTAAACATCAGGCTTTTATTTCCTACAGTTTTTGTTTTTAATCCCCCTTTAATTTACCTCATTTGTTCTCATTTCTGTGACTCTGAGTACACTTAGAATGCTAGGACTATTTTCTTTTCTCAGATTTTATCAATTTTCTTTCTAATACTAGAAGAGCCTCCTCACAAGCCTCTTCTGTTTTCATCCTCACCGGCAGGGGCCCTTGGCCTCCAGGTCCAATTCCCACGGCTCTCAGGGCTCTGTAACTTGTCCTCTTCACTCAGTTTGCCCTGAGTGTCGCAAGCCTCTCCTCTGTCTGCCATCTTCTCTACCCAGTTTGCTGCTGCCTTTGTCTTTGATTTAGCCAAGACCATGCCCTCTGTTCAGCATTTCTTCTGTTTGGAAACTCAGCTAATAACATCTAGGAAGTTTTGTTTTGTTTTTTACCTGCAGCTGTGACCAGCATACTCATGCCCTAATCTTGCTTCTGCAGTGCTTTTGCAGTAACAGATCTGTGTAATTTCACTTCTCAGGAGCCTGGGCCACGCCCCCGGCTACGTGAGGACCACATGTCTATGTCTGGCACGTTTGTAAGGCATGTGAGAAATATGTACACACACAGTATTTAGTTCACTTGATAGTTTCAGTTAGCCATCTTTTGGTTATAATTTATCATTTTTCATTGAAAAAGAAAGTGTTTCTGTTTTGTAGTCTCAATTCAAAAAGGTCATTTCATTCTTTATAAATGCTGCTGTTGAATTACTTGGTATTGTGTTTTGTTCTTAAAAAGCCTTTCAAAGGCCATCTGTGGTGGTACATGCCTAGAATCCCAGCTACTCAGGAGGGGGAGATCAGAGGATCGAGGTCCAAGGCCAGTCAGGAAAAAACAGCTAGAACCCATCTCAGCAAGCAAGCTGGGCATGGTGGTTCATACTGTAATCCCACCTCATAGGAGGCTTGGGTAGGAGAATCAAGGTGAGAGGCCAGAATGGGCAAAATGCACAAGACTCTATCTGAAAAGTAGCCTAAAGCAGAAAGGGTTAGAGGCATGGCTCAAGTGGTAAGTGCAAGGCCCTGAGTTCAAATCCTACCACTCATCCCCCAAAGGGCCTTTCTAGAAATGGATGGATAACCCCTCCTCAATTTATGTTAAGTGTCTAGTGTTCATTTACAGTAATTATGAACGTTCTAATGGTATTTTCAAAGCGTATTCCAGTACAGTGCCATAAGGAGCCTTTCTCTGTCTCTGTGGGGGAGGAGGAGGCTGTGTGTGCACGTCCTGACTGGCTCTGTCTTGCAGTTGACTGGATTGTTGCTGACATCTTGGCCGTCAGGCAGAATGCCCTCGGACATGTGCGCTATGTGCTGAAGGATGGGCTGAAGTGGCTTCCGCTGTATGGCTGTTACTTTGCTCGGGTAACTTTTCCCTTTATTCGTGTGTTTATTTTATGTTTATTTTGTTTTGTGTTTTCCTGTTCTGGGGATGGAACCTTGGACCTTGCTAGGCAGGCGCTCTGCCACTGAGCTGCATCACCAGCCCAAATAAATGTTTTTAAAATAACTTCAGTAGCTTATTCTAAATTGAAATATTTTATCTGGTATTCTTAATGATGTATGTTTAGATGCATGAGCAATCATCTATATAGTTAGGTGAACCGGCAAAACTGCAAATACAGAAGCCGGATTAGAAGCTACAAAGCATAGACTTTGATTGTCAGTAACTTTAAGAAGCTAACGATCAAGCCAGTGGTGAGCTGTGGATGTAGAGTGTGTAGAGTGAGGAAATTACTTCCTCACAGTTCTGAAAGCTGGATCAAGATCAGGTTGTGGGGGAGGTTGGTTTCTCCCAAGCCCTTTTTCCTTGGCCCGTGACAGCATACATGCATGTGCATCCGTGGTGTCCATTTCTCTCCTGAGAAGGATGCCAGTGGCATGGGACCAGGACCCAGCTTAATGTTTTATTTCACAGCAATTAGTTCTTTCAGGACTGTATACCCACATGCAGCCACCCTAGAAGTTCAGATTTCACTACATGTATTGGGGGAAAAGATCATGTATGTGTGAAATGCTGTAACCCCCATTTTTTTGCACTGTTAATATAAGCTATTAAAAAGTTCACCTCATAGCAGTGCCACATAAATATCTATAGCTGGATTGATATTTCAAGCCCTTAAAGACTGTGCTGACATTTTAAGAGTACTTGTTAGTGATTCTATAAGTCGGTAGGAAAACTGGGAGTTAAGCTCCATCTGATAGGGAGTTAAAGCTTTTTGTTTAAAAGGTGTCTTTTAAGATGGACACAGGTTTTGTTTTTGTTTTTATTTTTATGTTTTACGGTTCTGGGGTTTGAATTCAGAGCCCACACCTTGAGCCACCCCACCAGCTCTTTGTTGTGTTGGGTCTTTTCAAGATAAGAGTCTTGCAAACTATTTGCCCGGGCTGGCCTCGAACCTTGATCCTCCTGATCTCTCTCTGTCTCCTGAGTAGCTAGGATTACAGGTGTGAGCCTGTAATTTTTATTTTAACTGCTGACAAAGCTAAATGTTCATGTATTTCCTATATGGAATAGCATGCAATTTTATTCGAGTCATGCTGTTTCTACATGGTGTTAAGGTGCTAACATTTGAATGTATTAAATAGAGCTTAAATTCTGAAATGTTTCATTCTTTACTCCTTGGGGGTAAAGTTGCCTTTTTCATGCATATAGAAATTGGTTATTTTAAGAGTAAGTACTTCTTTTCCCCATCTTTCTTATGTGCCAGCATGGAGGAATCTACGTAAAGCGAAGTGCCAAATTTAATGAAAAAGACATGAGAAGCAAGCTGCAGAGCTACGTGAACGCAGGGACGCCAGTAAGAGTGCCCGCTTCCGTCATTTCCTTAGCAACTCTCGGTTTTTAATCTAAGAATTCATTTCAAATTTAAGAATATAGCACCCCAAATGTAAATAATTCCCAGTTTTGTTAGGGAACAAAAACATAGGTAAGCATCAGAAAGATTGCTGCAGGTTGAGTCCTTTTCTGGTGGTTGCCAGTGATGACCTTAACAAGGAACAAAAGGAGCTTTTGGTGTGGTTCAGACTCTATGAATAGAAAATGCAGCTGCACTGGTAACCCTACACTCCTGCTCCTGAGAGCTCATCAAACTCCTGGTGTCTTTATATCAGATTGAGTTCTTGAACAAGCAACATTTCTGTCGGGGCAAATTTGGATTTCTTATGTATGTCGAGTTTTACTAAAGTTGCTTTTTAAAGGGGCAGCCTGTTGGATAAGAGTGTTCCTTTGAAATAAGATTTGGCTTTAAATCCTAGATCTGCTGTTTAAACTTTGTCACTTTGCACAAGTCACCTCACCTTTCTAAGCCTTCGTTTCCTATGTGTCAAATCTGTTGGTGATTACTACATTTGGTAGGGAAGATTAAATGACAAGTGTGAAAACTGTAGTCAGGGTCCTAGTTCCCTGTTGCTGCTCCAACAAATTACCACAAATTTATTGGTGTGAAATAATTCAGATTTACTGTTTGTTTTTCTGATGGTCAGTCCAAAATATGTCTCGAACTAAAATCAGGTTTTGGTGGCCTTCTGGTCCTTTGTGGAGATTCCAGGGAGACTCTGATCGTAACACATAGCATTTCCATAATTAAATAATAAGTTCATTGAGGAAGTAAGTTATTTGCATTTTTTCCTCTGTAACATAGAATGAACTTTTTAATGACTTGATTGTTTATGATTATAATTATTAAAAAACCCCTTAAGTTATAGTTTGTTAGATTAGGTTAATTTGGAGAGTGGAAGGCAGAGATAGTTCTATGGTATACTGGTATATAAGCAGCTTCCTTTGAAAACTATTTTATAAACTAGGTAGAATTTTTTAAACCTGAAGGCAAGTAAACTTTCTAAAAGCCTGCCACTTAGTGCCTGGCTTGGTATTGTCACTTGTTTGTTCAATCCTTATAGCAACCCTCAGTCTTCATTTTGGAATAAGAAATTCACTTAAAAAAGAAAATTAGCTTATCCAGTGAATGGAGAAAGGGCTGTTTTAAGGAGTTGTTTATTGTTGTGTTGTAGTGGTACTGGGGTTTGAACTCAGGGACTGATGCTTGCTAGGTAGGCACTCTACCACTTGAGCCACTCAACCAGCCGAAAGGGCTGTTTTAAGTAGAAAGATGTTAGCTTCATAATTTGTTTTAATTCAAATTGAATATCTTTAACTCTTATTAAATAGCTTTTTTTGTCTTTTCTTTTTCGGTGTTGGGATGGAATCCAGGTTGTGCTAGGCAAGAGCTCCACCACTGAGCTACCTCCTTGCCCAGCACTCTTTTCTCTCTGAGTATATTTTTAGTGTGAAATAGCTGCTCATTTCTCATTAGAGACTGAAATATCTACATTTGAAGTGGTATTTCACATCTTGAATATAGATTTTTTTTTTTTGATATATAGAAGCTTCACAGGAGAGAACAGAATCTCTGGTCTTTCAATGAAAATTTAGCAGTTCAGTAGATTTCTGTGCATAGTAACAAAAATCTTCAACATCATTTGATATGTTTGTAATAGTTCATCAGTTTTTCCTGTGACTTTTATTACTCCCTGTTCTTGAACAGGCATTTCATTTACATTCTGCGTAATTGAGAAAGGGCCCAGAAACGCTAGTCTACTCTTCAACAGTTCTTTTCTTGCTCATTCCCTGTGCTCTGTGGAGAAGGTGTTCTCACATCTGTGTGAACTAAAGAAGAGAGATGCCTTCTTTGTCATCATGTATAAAGTAACTGGGCTCTGAATGAATAGTTCAGTATTGATTTCTTGTTGATCATCAGTGTTCTTTTAAACATCTAAGGCTCAGAAAGTGATAGCACGTGAGTTATTAACCATTGAAATGATCATTTTATTTATAAATGATTGAGCTCAAAGCTATTGACCATCAGTAATTGCTTTCATGGCTTTGAGTATAAACTTTATGGATTAAAAATATATTCTTGGGCTGGGAGTGTGACTCAAGTGCTAGAGCTCAAGGCCCTGAGTTCAAACTCCTGTACTGCCTCTGTGTATGTGGGTATACATGCATACGTATACCCACTCTCTCGGAAGTGAATTCTCCGTTTTTGGAACTAACTTTAATGTTTTTCTTACTGCTTTCCCTTCTAATTACTATTATGTAATGAAGTTTAAATTTTGAATTTTTTCTGAGTTTTACCAATTTTTCTTTATTTCTTAACAGATCTGAACACTCTTCATTATGAAGATATGCAGCACAATCTATTAATTTCTGAGTTAGACAAAGATAGTGGGTTCTGAGTATTCTTATTTTTGTATAGTAGCTGAAAATACAAAATTGCAAATGAAGTATTATGTATTGTACTAGTTTTCAGATGATACTTTGCATGAGTTTACTTATAAATCTGTCCTGTGAGCAACTTCAGATTCTCATAGAGGTTCACTGAAGAGGAGTTTTGTAATCATAGGTTATTCAGATAATGCTTCTTTATAGGTAGACAATATTGCCTGAGGTCTTTTAAGCATGAATGAATTGAACTGAACTCTTTCGGGTCCTGTTGTTTTCTATATTCTGTCTATTTGAAAAGATGAGTGTTTTACATCTTTTGGCTACCAATTCAAAATAGTAGTGTAGTTTTTGCAACTCATTTCTCAGGTTAGAAGTTTTTAACTATCCGATGTTAATGTTTTTGTTTTTGCTCTCCAGAGCAATTAGGCATAAAAACTTAGACTGATTAATTACATAGTTAATATCTTGCTTGATGGTGCCTTATTTGTAAAGTACGGTTTTATCTCAATGTGATAAATATGAAGCTGCTTAAGCATTGAGTAACTTAAAATGCATAAGGGTGCTCTGTAAAATAGGAAGGAATATTGCATGAAGCTTTTGAAATGTACACATTACCTTCTGTATTGTGGGAATTTGAGTATTTGTATGTAATGTTCCTCAAGCGAGAGGCACATTTAGTCCTGATACTTAAAGACATTGATTTGTATTTATTGCACTTTTTTGCACTGTCATGTTGAAGGGAATGAGAGTAAAATGCAAATGCAGAAATAATACTGAATCCCATTATTGTGTGCAGTTAATATGTGTTAATAAAAAAAGTAATGCTGAAATAAAATGTCATGTTATAGATGCTGTGTCATGAATTAAAAGTCAGCACTTTGTTGTCAAATTTTTAATTAGTGACATTATTAGAATGATTTTTATATTCTTAATGGCTGACCTGCTGTGAATGGAGGACTGCATTTTAAATATACTCCATGTTGTGTTTAGACTTAACTGACTGTTTTACATTTTGGTTGCTCTGCTTGAGTTAAAGGTCACACATAACTGAATATATACTCTTCCCACTATAGAAACAGTGTCTTGGCACTAATAGAGTTAGCACTGCTAAGTCTACAGTGCACATGCAAAGAGCCTAAGTGTACTTTCTGCCCCACAGATGTACCTTGTGATTTTTCCAGAGGGAACAAGGTACAATCCAGGACACACGAAACTGCTTTCAGCTAGTCAGGCTTTTGCTGCCCAGCAGGGTAAGTAAAAATTTGACTGTGCTCAAAAAATAATTTTGACAGTAATGATCTTCTTAGTCTTATGTTTTGCAATTGAATGATGTTTATGTCTTAGGAAATGAAGTTTCTTTTTAATTCATTTGCATGTTATTACATTTATCTGAGAGATTAAATTCACATACTTGCTGTAGTACATGTTCCCGTGGTCATGTACATGATTAGGTAGTGTGAGCTCTCTCTACAGTGTGTGTTTATTATGTGTGATGGAAAGACTTTCTCTTCTTCAGACATACGTTGGTATTCTACCTAAGTGTTTGGAATCCAAACACCAACTTTTATCAGCTATATGATGTCAAGTTGCCTAATGTTAGCTAACTTTAGTTTCTCATCTCTTAAAAATATGACTGTTCTTGAGCACTCCTACTTTAGTATAAGAATTAAATTAAAAGGTACATAAAGTTCCACTTGGAAGTCTTTTACAAAGTTTGTTCACAGTCCTTAGAAGCTAGTAATGTCCCCAACAGTGGGAATGTTCTTAGTGTCGGTAGTTTTGAAAACTGTATAACTGAAAAACCAAGAAGCTATGCAACTTAACCAGATTGGGAAGCACACAGTATTGAAATGCTGTGTTCTCAAAGGTGTCTTTGAGGACTGACTGCTAATTAGCACGTGTTCTCCATATGTGGGCCAGCAGGTGCTTAGTGAGCTCATGTCCCGTCTCTATGCCAGGGTCTGTGACAGTGCCGAGAACGTTCTGCAACAATGGTAATGACCTGCTTTGTCCAGTATACCGATCCTCTCCACATGTAGTTTCTGAGCATCCAAAATGTGACTGGTGCTCTAAGGAAATGCATTTTTATTTTATTTTATTTTAGCTTTGTTAACATTCTAAATTGAATTTAACTTTCGTTAAATGCATCTGTCATAGTGCATTGTGGGATACAAAAATGATAGGTGGAACTCTCACCGGGTACTTGAGAAAGAAGAGGTGTTGTGTGAATATGAAATGTTTTTTAACACAGTATTCTGTAAATGTCAGTTTATTTCACTTCTGATCACACACCCTTGATCAAAGAATGCTTCAGGAATGGGAGACGTTGCTGCCTTCTCTGTCCAGTGCAGGCACCCTGGCTGTCATTTCTTTGTAATACCATTGTGTTCAAAAACAACCTTCCCCCTCAACTCCCCATTTTCCTCTTTCACTAACAGTCAAATTCTGAATCTGTAGTTGGCCTTTCTTGTACCACTTTTGCGGTTCTTACCCAGGCCTCAGTTCATGGTGATCTGAGCTGATATTCTTGATACTCTCTTGTTGAAGTTCTTTCTCTAGACTTCTCTGTTTTCATCCGACCTCTCTATTCATTCTTTTTCAGTCTCCTTTCTAGCCTCTTCTGCTGCTTCATTCTTTTCTGTTTCATATGTTGTTTCCAATCTCTGACTTTGGTCTTTCATTTCACTTTCTGTGTTTTGCTTTTTGATTCTATGTCTTGCTGTTTGATTCAACCCACTTTTCTATGTCTTTTGATTGAAGAATTTTGACCATTAATGTACAGTGTTAATACTGAAAGGTATATAGTAATGCCTGCCATTTTGTCATTTTTGTAATATTCAATTCATTTCTGTTCTTCATTTGTTTATGTATTTATCTAGTGAGATTTATTTTTCCCATATTTTCTTGGTTCATTTATCTCCCTTTGAGTGTCTTCTGCAGCGCTAGTTTAGTTTTTGTTTGTCATGGATGTGTTTTATTTCTCCTTTAGTTGTGAATGGTAGCTTTGCTGGATAAAGTAAACTAACTGGCATTATTTTCTTTTAGCACCTGAAATACTTTGTTCCATACCCTCCTTGCTTTTAAGGTTTCTATTGAGAAATCCATGGTTATTCTGATGGGTTATCCTTTATATGCGAGATGTCACTTCTCTCACAATTTTCAGTATTCTTTCCTTGTTTTGCACACATAATGTTTTAATTATGCTACATCTTGGAGTAGTTCTTTTCTTCTGGTCTTGTCTGTTGGGTCTTAAAAGCCTCCTGTACCTAAATGGTTGTCTCTCAAAATTTGGAAAATTTTCTTCTTTTATTTTATTGAACATGTTTTTTATCCCTTTAGTTTGCATTTTGTCATCTTCTATGCCCATGAGTCATAAGTTTGGTCTTGTAATAGTGTTCCAGAGTTCTTGCATGACCCATTTTTAGTTCTTTATTTTTTTGTTTTCCTTTTTCTTCATCTTGGCTGTTCTGATACATCTACCATATCATCCAGCCTTGATATTCTGTCTTCAGTTTGATCCACTCTACTGGAGAGACTTTCCTACTTGAGTTTTTTAAGTGACTCATTGAGCTTTTCATTTCCAGAATTTCAGTTTGATTCTTTTTCTGGATTTCTGTGTCCTTATTGAATTTCTCTTTTATATCCTGCACTGTTTTCCTAATGTTCAGCTTTTGTTTATATTGTTTGAGTTCCTTCAGCTGTTTGTTTCCTCATTGAATTCATTCATTTTTACAAAATTTTATCATTTTTATATTTATTTAAGTGTGTATACATAGGCCACTTTCCCTCCCCCATTGATTTTTTTTTACACATGCATTCTTTCATTTTATCATAAGTCATGCTTTTGAGTTCTTTAGGCTTTCTTCTTCTTCACTATGCTTGGTGTCTGTTATCACCCTTTTGGGATGTTGTGTTGCCTTGTTTTTTCATATTTCTTGTGTGTCTACATTGAGATTTACACATGTGAGGCTGAATTCATTGGTTGGTAGTTCTAATCACCAGTGGTCATGTCAGCATTTGGTCTTCAGTTGATGTTACCACTGACTTTGGACTATATTTCCAAGCATGTGTTAGTTACATGACCTTAGACAATTTATTTTAGACTCTTTCCTTATTTGTAAGCAAGGGATGATAAAAGTTGTATCATAGGGCTTTTGCAAATGACACAATATTTACACAAAATACAGTATATAATATATATCTAATAAGTTGTCTCTGCTAACTTAGAAAGTGGAGGAAAGGAGCCCCCCTGTAAGTCTCTTGGTAATGGCAAATATTGATATAACTGCTCTGTGGGGTAAAGCAGAAGGGCCAACAAAATTGGGTTTAAGACCTCAAATCAGCTGTTTTGGTCTGCTTCTTTTGTTTGCTTTATTTATTTTTTGGTGGTACTAGGATTTGAAGTCAAGACTTTGGCACTTGCTAGGCAGGTGCTCTATCACTTAAGCCACACCTGCAGCCCATTTTGGTCTACTTTACAAAGGACAATCAAGGTTTATCATGTCTTATGACTACA